GTGATTTCATTCCCAGTTGGAGAATTCCAGAACTGTTACACTGTTGAGCAATTGCGATCCAAGTGAATTCCCAGCCGCATGAAAGGGATTTTTTTTTGCTTTTTGCTCCGGTTAAACATAATTTCTGCTTAGGTGCCGAAAGAAAATCAAAGAGGGATCATTTCTTCTCTCTGTAAAAATCGGATGTTAATTCGTTAGACAGATGTTTACACATGGTGCAAAACAGAGTTTTTACACCATGTTATTTCATGCTAATTCCATTGTGGTGTTCTTAGCATGCATTCAGATCAAAAGGTAGTGATGCAATTTATTATACATCACTGTTAATTTACTCACAAAAATAAACTCTAGACTCCTAAATCGTAGTGATTATATGTTCTTATGTATCATGTCTAAACATTTCCCTTTTCCTGTTTTTCCTTTGTTTGCTTACAGCACCAGTTTCTATAACAGTATCTCTTTTTCACAGAGACAGGCATATGGAGACAGACCATATTGCATATCTTTGTGTTGTTGTCACTAATATGTGTTTAGAAACTGAAGTAAAAAATACAGCTTGATTTGCCTTGCTCTAATTGACTCACTGGCCTTAGGAAAGTACTGTATTTCAGTAAGAAACATGACCTGAAATCAAATCTAATAGATGCCTCTGTTAGCATAATAGTGTTCCAGAATCCACTCATTCAGTACTCAGTACTGCTGCCTTCTTCTTTGATAAGCTAGCAGCCTGGTGAACTCCTTCTGTAAACAAGGCACAAGGCATAGGTGGACTACATTTGTGCCGGCATTATGGGTTAAAAAACAGCATTCAGGGTGAATAAACATGCCAGATATAGTCAGGGTATTATTTTTTTACATGCGTTTACACCCAGATTTGTCCAGTCATTCACTATACTTTAGAATATGTTGAAGGGTTTGTGGATTTGACATCTCCTTGGATCATGTAAGGATTCACTTTTCTACTATGTCAAAAGTATCTGTAGCAAGCATCTATTAGATGTGCAGGAGTTGGAAAAGGTAGCGGATTTTGCTTTAATTGGGTTTTACTGTGTTTTTGGTTCATTGCCATTCATAAAACAGGAAGAGCAACCTGAAGCCAGTGTTGACTTCACACATTGAATGAGGTTTAATTGTAGGTCTTATCCTTTGTTGTGATTCTTTTTGGCAGTTTTGTATTTATTAAGAAAAAAGTAGGTAATGCAACATTCTCTGATTGAAGCAAAACTATATTAGCCTGTTCAATGTTTTTTTTCCAGTCGAACACATTGAACGTATTTTTCATTAGAACCAAAAAATACTATTGATCTGTGAAAGATATCACTTTCAAACACATTTATGTGTTTCATCTAACACTTTTGACAGGAACATGTTCCATCACAGGCACATCCATCAGCAACTGAAAAGCATATTATGTCCACTTCAAAGAAGACTATTTTTTTTTAGTTTTTTGGAGTAGTTGAGTAGTACAGAAGGAGTAATAGGACTTTTGATGGCTGATAATGGGATTTCAATGTTAGAATGGTTTGTGCATTTTTAAAAACGACACATCAACACATTACTGCAAAGAGCTCTGAAGTGGCTCACTAGGTAAAGGTGTTCATCCACAAAGCAGATTTAGCCTTAGAATTCATATAGTAAAAAGTATTAAATATTAATATTGCATCCAATATGATTTTTTTGATTTTATTATGTACTTATTTTATTTTTAATGTATAACAGTAGCTAGAGCTTGGGCTGCCAGAGGGAGTCACCAAGCAGTACTGGAGGTGGGTGGTCTTGAGTCAGTCAAGGAGTCCTTGGTTTTCCACATAACACTACTCCTGTGATATTCCAGGTAACTCTTGCTCTGCTCTGGGGAGTGTAGGATGGGTCACAAATGGTAGATGGCTCTAACAGGGGACAATTCAGAGGAAGGGGTGCATGGTCTTCATTTCCTCTCATGCTTTACCTATAAAGCAAAGATTATGGTAATTTCAGACAGAAGTTTTATAAAGATCAACAGCAATTCCAAATTCCAAAAAAGACAAGAGTATTCCATTCATTCCACTCAGAAAGATCTACAATAACAGCCAAATGTGGGGTTTTAACTCTAATCATATCCTCTACGAACACTAGTCAGAATCTGAAACAGTACCAATGCTGTTAAGGATGCCACTTTGACAATCTAAGTAGAAGGAGTTTTTTAAATAATGTTTCATCCAAATTGCTGACTCCGATTATTTGAATTGCTTGAAAGTTTGATTGCTTGAAACTTGAGGTCACCACACAAGTGTACACCCAAGGTTGGAGAAAGACCATTTGAAATCAGCCAGGGCTTTAAGAATTGATTAGTTTCAAAAAGCTTACAATGAGATAAAGGTTCACTGGAGGTTTGCTTTATTTAGATTTCCTTGGTATTCAAGCTTTTATCCTACATGTATGGTAGAAGCTGTTGCAGTGGAGTGTCCCTGATAAGTCTTATCCTGCAAAAAACCTATTATTTCATACTTGCCTAGAACCCAAGGAGTCTCAAGTGAAATTGTGGAAACAGATGGCATTTCCTAGGGAATGTTACATTTAAGGTGGTATATTGTGGAATATAGTATCCTTATTTTTATTACTTTTAAAAATTATTTATTTTACTTTTGTTTTTATTGAATTTTTTAAATTATTTTTAACCCCATGGTTTACAAGTGCAACTGAAGTGTTGACTTTGTGTGTTATAGAGTTGTCATGGTAACCAAATTGGGAACTGTTATTGTCTGAATTACTTTTATATATCTCTTATGTGATTAATTTATTGTCCATTATATTTTCTGAATCAGTGACTTCCCGTTCTGAAAAGCGTGTTCTCTTCCTTTAAAACATCCCTTTCAAGGCTTTTAGATTTTTTTGCAGGAAGTACATGATGTTTTAAAGGGCTAAAACTGGCTGAATCCTACCAGGGCTGACTGTAACTCCATTTGTGTCTGCTTGTTTACAGTGTTAAGGTTACATTTCTGTAAGCATAAGACCTAGCATTAAATATGGTACCACTTCATGGTTGGGTTTAAAACTATTTCAAATATGTGCATACACATTACAGGTGGAAACAAATAGGGCATTTTAATTGTTTGTAATTATTAACGGGTGTTTTCTGGGAGTAGTTTTAAATGATACTAATTGAGGTTAATGCTTAAATTGAAAAATGTGGACAGAGATAAGACTGATTCACCCTATGAGAGAGGAGAGGAAATATGGTTTCAGGTGTTAGGTATTGGTTTTAATCATTGGAAAATCTGTTTTTACTTTAAATAGTAGATTTCACTTGACTGTATGATTTGAATGACATGACAGTTGGAAAACCAGACAATAATTGTCAGTCATTCAATTTTTTTACTAATCTGAACCTAAATAAGCAAATAATTGTTTTGAGCTAGTGTGTGCTATAACTTCATTTAACAGATGTCATATGATCTAGTACATCTATCATTTTATTTTCAATTTTTGTCGTATTCTCATTCCATGAAATTGTTTCACAGGGAGAATATTTATTTATTTTTTATTTACAAAATAGTCTTATTTAGCTGGCTATCATGCTTATGTTATCAGTCTGTGAGCAGTTACAACAGGATTTGGGATATAATATAATTAATGTTGGTGGTTTTCTGAAAACTCTTAAAAACAATGATCCGAAGTGTGTTAAAAAGTACATTTTTATCAGAAGTGTTGTTACAAAAAAGGCATCACAAATCTTTATAGCATAAGTTGTATTTAATTTAAATATTTGTACTCACTAATTACATACAGTATGAATCAGTGGCAAGTATTTCTCTGTTTTGTGTCTTTGTTTTGGTCTTTTGCGAGTGTTTAGATCAGACACTTTTAACGTACACTGAACACTTCATTCCCTGTCTGGTTCGTAAGAGTGCTGTAAGTTATTTGTGCATGTAAAGAAATACCATTTCTAGGTGGATTGTGTTCTGTCAAACATTAGACTTGACAGAAACATGTTCACATCAAAAGTAACGATAAGGAGTTAACCTCAAAGCCAAGGCAGTAGAGATCAGAAGATTAACTTAAAACAGGTCTGCCCTTAAATTCCTATTCCCACTATTCTTTTAAATGAATCATCCCACCATATCAGATGGATTTATGCAGTCTTTTGGTAATAGACCTGAGTTAAAAAGACAGAATTATCAGCTCAATAAATCAGGGTGATACTTTCTTATATTACAAGACCTCAAAGTGCAATCTCAGATGATATTTCTTTTGTATCTTTTTTTGCCTTCATGAGGGGTTTGGTAGAAGAGATATTTACATAAAAGGGATATGTTTCATTTCTTTCTAAAATACTGTACAACAATTATATGGACATTCTCTGCAGGTTTTTTTTTATTTTCAGACACTTTGTTTCTCGACAGTCCAGTTAATCACACAGTAATATTTGCCACTACATATAAATACATCAAGCTAATAGATGTGAAATATCATGAAATATCAGCTTAAAGCTAAGCTTATTTGATTCTGATATAAGCACAATAAATTGCCTCATCACATTTTGGTTTTTTATCATTTCATTTCACTTGCAGCCTGCTTTCATTTGGTAGGCATTGAATCCGTTGAAAAGCAATCTGTTGCATTTCAGTTTTCTCAGACAAGACTGGAATTTATACTCTGAGGTGCCCTGTTCATGTGAAACGAAAGCATTGCTTCTTTGCATCAGCAGTAACAAGAAGCAGTCTGAACTTGATTTTCATACTTGTGTGTGTATATTAATATATAGTGGTACAGGGTGGTGGGTGTTCATCAACTGTAGAAGATAAATGGCAGTTGGAGAGAAAAATAGTTGGGCAGCTTCCAGCTGATGCTGTGAAATAACTCTGTCGGAAGTTTGTGTGCTGATTTAGAGCTCTTAAACAATCTGTAATAATTTACTGTGCGGTGGTGGGTGGCTGTGCATGCCTTCCTTTCTCTCGGCTTGTATATATCTCCGTGCTCACATGTATACATAAAGGCATTTTTTTTCTTCCTTTTTGTAGGTGTGTTCTGCAGTGATGTCAGCAAAACCCTGGGGACGTCCTTCTCTAAAATGTAGTGTTGTGTGCCCCGTGTGAACGTGAACGCAGAACTGCACACTACACTGGTCACAGCAGCCAGAAGAGAGAAGCAAAGCGAAACAGGGCAGAGTGACGGAGAAGACTGGGGGAGATAAGTTGTTAATTAATGACCAGGGCTCTGTGAGATTTCTCCTCTGAGGCTGCCCGCTGGTTAATGTGTTCTTGCTTCCTTCGTGCTAGTCTGTAAAAAAAAAAAGGAATACAAAAACTAGTGCTGAATTAAACTTACAAGGGTTAAAAGCCTGAACCCACTACAGCTTTGGACTTGTGCAGTTAGATCCTGCCTGGATAAGCACCATGTGTCATGTGATTGTAACTTGTCGCTCCATGCTGTGGACTCTGCTGAGCATTGTGGTGGCCTTTGCAGAGCTCATTGCCTTCATGAGCGCAGACTGGCTTGTTGGACACCCCAGAAACTTGGAGACTAAGCCCCACAATACTGCAGAGCCCTACCGTCCTACCCTGGGCATCTACGGGCGCTGCGTCAAAGTGGTGAACTTCAAGAGGGAGATGCTGTGTGGCCCGTACGCTGATCACTTCGGAGAGATTGCCAGCGGGTTCTGGCAAGCCACTGCGATTTTCTTGGCAGCGGGGATCCTGCTGCTTTGTGCTGTGGCTTTCATTTCTGTTTTTACCATGTGCTTTCAGAGCATCATGAAGAAAAGCATTTTCAATGTCTGTGGATTACTACAGGGAATTGCAGGTGAGTGTGCCTCTAACGTTCAACAACAGTGTAATGGCTGTTCAGTTATTTATGACTAAAAATGCCGTGATTGCACTTCTGTTCCTCAGCATGAATATGTTTTTATTGTCTAATGAGGAATGAGCTGCCGACTGCTTAGCTTTCTCCCTGTAGTTCTCTATTCTGCTCAATACAGCTGATTGCACAGAGTCCCAGGAATGTAGAATGAAGAAAAGGCTGCCAGCACTGTTTAAACAAGTAACATTATTGTTGATCCCACCCGTGTTTAAACATTTACCAGCCCAATTAACAAGCTCTGGGTATACTGTGTTTGAAAATCTATTAATGTATTCGGAGGTTTAGAAAAAAAAACAAATGGAGACATCCAGAGGTGACTGCTGGGTTAATTGCAGAGCACAGTCCCCTGTTGCAAGGTCACTGCCTATTGAATCCGTTACCATTGGTGATGCCCTGCCAAATATTTGTATCCTCTACACTTCTGAAAAGCTGCTTGTGATTTCTTATTGAGAGGCAAAAGCATTGCTCTTTGATCCGAAGCAGCATTTGCCTTTGTTTAAGAATAAAATATCTCTCAAGTGCTGTGAGAGGTGAAAAGTGAAGACATTCTGAATGGTACACAGCCTGTAGGCTTCGCACCAAGCTGAGGCTTTTAGTTCGCAGCTAAGCCCTTTTGCTTTGGAAGTGGACCTGCTGACTAAACCTTAGTCGTCTTATTAGTCAGCCACAGTGACCTGGAAGATCGCAGCTGATGTTTGTTTCATCTGAGCTTGTTTGTAATGGAAAGAGTAATAGCTCAGGAAAATATTCACCAAAAGCGGGAGGTGAGTTCTGGGTCACTGCCAGAGGTCACCTCTTGAGTGCGTGTTGCAAAAGCTTGAAAAGAATTATATTCCTGCTTATTGTTGGAGCGAAACTACTAAAACACACAAATTTGTTAAGAGTTAATTCTCGGCTCTTCAAAGGACTTGGGTAACTATGCTTACTATGCCCTTCAAGGGAAATTGCTGGACACTTATGGTTTCTAGAAAGGGTGCAGGAAGCAATACAACTCGGAAGTAGCATTACTCTGCCACTTTTGTGACATTAATTTAATTACTTTTTGTATGGTTCTCATGTCACTCCAGATGTTGATAAATTGCATTTCACTATATCCCTGAGGCCTGGTATGGTGATGCTGCATGTTTTATTTTTCTTTATTGTGAAAGTGAGGTTTTCTTGTGTTCCTTAGATATTTAACAAGCCTACGCTACAATTCTAGAGGGTATTTATAAAACTTATGTTAAGAAGGAAGAGTTTAGATAACCCCAATACAAGCCCTCATATAGACCATCTGATTGTGTCACAGAATCTTAGTTTTACCTTTTCGTCATTGTGAGGTATGTTATACATTTAATTTCCCCTCAAGAGAAACAAAAAAGAACAGATGTAGCTAATGATAAAACCAGATTAACAGTTAATGTTATTAAGTGGAGGCACTGATAACTGGCTGAGAATTTGACCTCTCTGAACTATGACTTTATAAACCACCCCAGAGAACCTACAGCTGATGAGTAATTATTTAAAGACAGGAAGATTGCACTGAAAGTTAGTCATTTGAAAGCTAGGATGTTGATGAAATTCATTTCATAGTCACAGAAGGCAAACTGTGGTAACTGCATATGGGTTGCTGTCTCACAGTGTATTCCTAAACTGGAAAAGGATTATTTGTGACCTTGCTTTGAATGAATCTGAGCCTTTAAAAGTATTCAATGTCAAACATCAGTATTCAAAAGGGTTTTGCTTACTGATAGAGACAAGAAAAATGTCAAGACAAGAAAGAGAATGAAAGAAACATTTTCAAAAATTGTTTAAGAATCAAAACAATCAATTTGCACAGCTTAGCCTCATTGATGTGTCTTTACTGCATTCTTGCATTTCTAAAATGTTAATGCATTCACTTATTTTGAAGAGTAGACTGCAGAGACCAAGACACTAGACCACAGTATCACATCAAAAGAACAGTGGCTTTTCCTGTTTTAGGAATATCATTCAACTTTTTTTCACCTAATATAAAGAAGTTTAATTAAAATACTTTTATTCCTATGAGGTGCAACAGTATTAAATGTTTCTTTCCCATTTGTGTCTGGATTCAATAGTGAGGAAAACATCTAAGCATAATGGCTTGATAAAATATGAGAAAGCTGAATTATTTCACTTCAGATGTCAATCCTGGTGCAGTTTTGGTGTTTTGAAACTTGATGTACTTCTTGAAATAAATTCCTAAAGCCTTGAAAGGGATATTTTAATGGAAGAGATACCAAAAGGAAGTACTTATCATGTACTTATCCACAGACTGCATTATACCAAATATGTTAGAGTACAGGATGAGATTAGGTATGTTAACTTAATAACAATTAGATAGTGTCTTATAATTCTTAACGCTGTATTGAATTTCTTATCTCCTGGTCAGTTTCTGGGTTCCTTGCTGTAAAATTTTAGTTTCCTCTTGACATGGAATCAAGTTCTTTGACCAGTTAGGATGTTGTAGTAAATAGATGACAAAATTCCATAATTACCTTGATGTTGATAAATGTATGGATTAATTTACAAAATATTCCATTATTACAAAATATTCTTGTTACTATACCAGGAGCACGAAAGGTACAGTATATAGCACATTAAATAGCACTATAAATAACTTTCATGCTCAAAGGATCAAAATAAAAGTAAATAAAACAAAACTGTTTTTTTAATATAAGTCAAAAAGCAAGTTGGCATACTTTAACTTTATGGAAATACCCAACTGCTTGATGCCACTTTAAGGTGCCTTTTGTTAAATGATCATATAGCATTGTGTCATTACGCAGTGTGGAAGGTAATCTTGTGCAGGCAGGTTAAGGAGTGCTCTGATCAGTGTTTATTTTGTATTTTCCTTATCACTTATCACTATGTGTCAAGTGCAATATTTCAGAACTCAACGTCCTTATTGTTCCTAGTCTTTAACCCATTCTATGGTGCCAGTGTTTCACACAGAAGATTATATCTAATACGTTTTGTTGAAGGAATCCCCTCCATTTTCTAACCATCTGTATGTAAATAAAATAGTGTAGTTTAACTTATTTCCTCAGTCAAGATCCATACCCCCACCTATTAAATAGACACAATAGTTAAGACCAAGGACTTGAGCTAAGTGGCAGCTGTTCTATTCTGCTCATTCTGACTGAGACACACAGGCATACACAGGCATCTGTCTTGCAATTGGAAAAAGTTGCTTTTGGCCTTGGGGGTAGTATTTCTTAAGATTAATATATTCTTTTGTCCCCCCTTGCCCATAACAGAATGAGCTGCAGACTTCAGGAGCTTGAAATTCCTGAATATCTCTGTGATGAATGTGGTCCCCATTCTCAGCAGTTGTAAACATTCAAAACCCAACAGTGTCAGGGTTAGAAAATCCTTTTGGCAGGCTGGCCCCAGCCCAACAAAAAGGTTGAACATGCCAGTAAAATTCAATACCACTGGTAATATCTGGGCAGCCAGTGGGATTTATTTTTAGCACTTTTTGAGGAATTCTTATCTTGAGTTATGAAAGCCTCTTGGCAGTGGTCAGTAGTGATAGAGAAGTTACTTTTTCAAGGTGAAAATAACATTGCAGTATCAGACTTGCAAGTATTTTACCTTGCATAGGGTTACCTCGTTCCTCAGAAAGAAATAAGCTGACTGTCTGTGGTAGGCCAACAATTTTTTTCTGATCATTGACAGTAGTTTTCATGTGAAAAGAAATGTGATCTTTTAATGTGCTCATGTCAAGTAAATGATTTGCTTTTATAAAACCGACTCTTCTGACTGACACAAAGATCAACATTTGGTTGTCTTCACTCTGATTTAAGCTGATATAGGTCGATGCAGGGCAGTCCGACTCCTGGAGGGCCAGTGTGTCTGCTAGTTTTCTACACCTCAAAGCACCAGCGCCTGAAGAGCTGGGAGAAGCTGTTAAATGGGTCCCATTATGACATTAATGAGCTGATGTTTAGGCCATTAAGAGCAGTGATGGAATGAAGCCTGCAGACATACTGACCCCCAAGGGGCAGGGTTTCCCACCTGTTGTCTAGTGAGCGCTGGGGGCTGCACCTCTCCCAGAGTTTGTTGGAATGACAGGTTTCTCCTTATACAGTACCTAGCCCTTGTGGTTCCCTAACCTTCCCTCCAAGATTGTAAAGTTTTTAATTGTTGTTTTTTTTAAATAAGATTTTGTCAATCCAGGCATTTTGAATACAATACTACATTAGCTAAAGATGATAAACTCCTTCACTGTCCTTATATACAATATATATCATGTAGATGCCTTTTGTATTGAAGTCCAGAAGCACATTTTTTAGTTCTTTATATTTCAGCCACAGTTGGATGCTACTGTACATCCTATGTACTGAAATGCCCTTTCCAGGCTTCCATCATTCTAATTATAATCTGTAAAGTACTGTTTCCTACAATTTGTGTTATTAAGTGATCATTTTGAGTTTGCTCGCATCTCGGTAAAATAATATAAGCTTTGTTTAAAAAATGGATTCATTGCAGCCTTTACCATTTGGGACAGCATAGAGTTATCTATTAGTCTTATTGTGGAAATCTGTCACAATCCAAAAATGATATTTTATGTCTGTATATGGGCTAGATGGATAATTTTATAAAGGCCAAAATAGCTGCGAATTATCAGAGAAATGGGAAGGGGGTTATTATTGTTAGTCTTTCATTCCTAGCCATATTTATTCTTTTTCATGAATATTCATTTTACTCCTGAGCAAGTATCTCAGTAGCGTACAGTATCCGAAAAGTGTTTGAGATTTTTCTGTGTATGTGTTATCTGTAGCACATCGAAGTCTGAAATCTGAGGGGAAGAGATGTGTATTCCCTGAGAAATAACTATTTTTTGTGATTTTTTCAGAACACTCACTCGCTATTTATGGATAACTATTTTAAAGTGTTTCAAAATCTGTCTTCATTAAAAAGTGGTATAAGTATGACTG